ACTGGAAACAAGAAATCAGGAGACTGAGATTGGGAAGGGCAGCCATGAAAGAGCTAGAAAAGATTCTTAAGTGTAACGATGTGTCACTGGTGACCAGGAGCTAGGTAATTCGTGCCATAGTATGCCCCATTAGTTGGACAACGAAGTTGGACAAGGAAGAAAGCTGACAGGAAGACAGTTGATTCTTTGTGGTGTTGGAAGAGAGTTTAGAGTTTCTACAGATACCCTGGACTGCCAAAAAGACAAATAAGTGGGTCAGGAAGGCACCCACTCTTCTGGCTTTCCGCAAACTAAGCAAGTTAATTACTCAAGAGGGCTTTTCTAAGCAAGCAATGGGGTAGCACTGCGCAAAAGGCTTCAGAAAGTAACTTGGATGAATTATTGGGGACAGGAGTGTATATTACTTTGCATAGTTTGCTGTAAGCTGTATCTGGCTATGTAATTTTGCATCATATAATGGGGTCACGTTAACATTTATGCTTTTCTTCAATCCTGTTTCTCAGATTTCTGGTTGGTTCTACAGCCCAAATTCTGTTTCATAGTTTACTGAATGTACCTTCCTATTGATCGCCTTGAGTGACATTACATGGCATTAATGTAGATCTTGGTTCTACAGCCCAAATTCTGTTTCATAGTTTACAGAACCAGGTGTGAGTCCAGTGGCATCTTTAGGACCAAAAAAGTTTTATTCAAGGTATGAGCTTTCCTGCTGTGCAAGTTACCCACCCGAATCTGTCTTCATGGAAGGAACCACATTAAGAGGTGGAATGGAACGGCATCAACCTTATGAAGAAGCTTGCACAGGTACAGACTGATAGTTCTTTCTTACAAAATGCAAAAACAGGGACTATTCTGAAGAACTGTGTTTGCACACAAAAAGCTATACCTTGAATAAAATTTTGCTTATCTTACAGACGCCACTGGACTCAAAACTTCTTCCATAATTAATATAAATAAATAAAATCCCCTCCCCCCCACTACCAGTGGGTGGAGGGGAGTACTGGCCAGTGCTCCCTCTAAGCTGAGTTAGTGTGAGCTAGCTCAGTTTTTCAGCCTCCAGCTCACAGATTTTTGTCTTCGCTCAGGAAGGATGACTCCAGAGCCAACTAATTTATGCAGTAGCCAAATCACTTGCTCACAAATTTCATGCTAGTAGCTCACAGAGTAGAATTTTTGCTCACAAGATTCCACAGCTTAGAGGGAACATTTTGGCCCAAATGATTCCTTCCAGATGAACACCCCGGGACTGTATCCTGGGCCTCCCTCCGCCCTCCATGGCTCAGAATTTATTTTGATTTACAAAAGTCAGCTCGCGCCTTTCAGCCCCTGCAAGCGACACCTGGTGGCTATTTATTCAATCAGATTTATATCCTGATCCCTCTATCCCTGAATGGGACTCGAGGTGACTTCCAGCACCCCCGGGGCACCCCCACCTTCTCTCTACCAGCCGCCTGGCGGATCAGGATCCCCCCGAGGCCGCCCCGGAAAGAGGCGCCTTGCAAGCCCCGCGGACCCACCAGGCAGCCGCCCCAGGACAACAAAGGGAAACACCCGCAGAAGGAAACCACGTTTTAAAAATATTTAAGCACACACCCCTCCCCCAAACACAGGAGAGCAGAATTTCTGTCTTCCGAGACTGAATGGACTTACTTGAGAGTAAACCTCCCCAGGCTCCGGCTGCAAGGCTTTTCCCGCTTTTGCGCGTCTGCAGCTCTCCCGGCTCTCTCGCCCTCTCCCGCTCCCCGCTCCCCGCTCCCCGCTCGGCCTCTCTAGCAAACCGCTCGAGTGTTTGAACCCTTTGATTTCTGCAGCCCCATGGAAAAAAGCTTCCTCCTTGAGTCTCTACCTTGGACTTGCAGACTTTTAAGACTGTGCCATCTAACACCGGGTATCGATGTATCAGATGGGAAAGTTAGCTTTCTTGTTTCTGTGCTACAGGATTGCAGGGACTGTGTTGCCTAGTGCTGTCCTGATTTTTAAAATATTTAATCAACCTCCATCTTTCCCCCCCTCCAAGGTCTAGTTTCTTGGGGTATAGCCTTGAGGACCCACGACTGAGCGCTGCCTGCTTGCCCAAGAGGTGGTGACTCAGCAGGACCCAGATTTCGGTCCTTGACAGTGCCACTCTGTTGCATACAGGAGAGTGGGGACCACAACAGAGAAGGCAGGTGTATGGGAGGTTGCTGATTTTGACTATTTGCAGGTTGGCACCTGCAGAAGAGCTCACTCAGAGAACATAAGAGAAGCCAAAGTTGGATCAGGCCAATGGCCCATCCAGTCCAACACTCTGTCACACAGTGGCCAAAAATACCAGGTGCCATCAGGAGGTCCAGCAGTGGGGCCAGGACACTAGAAGCCCTCCCACCCCAAGCACCATGAATACAGAGCATCACTCGCCCCAGCCTAAGAGTTCCTATCTATGCCTTATGGCTAACAGCCATTGATGGACTTCTGCTCCATATCTATATATCTAATAGCCAAGTTGCCCCCTCTGTGCGGATATCTAAATCCACACATTGGGGGCACTTGGGAAGCAGAGAGATCTTCCTGCCCACGTGGAACTGCCTCCCTGCAGCCAGCAAGACGGCCCTGAAGTCATGGGCCAGGGGACACCATTGCTGCTGGGTCTCTCCCAGGAGAGCAGCCTCCTTCCAACCAGCAAGACAGCCTTGGAACCGCAGGGCAGGGGACACTGCTGCCGCTGGGTCTCTCCCAGGTGAGAGGCCTCCTCGCAGCTAGCAAGTTGGCCATGGAGCTGTGGGGTGGGGGATCCCACCGGTGGGTCCCTCCCAGGCAAGCAGCTTCCCCACAGCCAGAAAAACAAGGAAGCCGCAGAAAGGGAGGCAGAGGAGGGGGAGATTGTTGAGGGGGGGGAGAAATAAGGGAGGGGGGCAGACTAAGAAGGGGTGGGAGAAAGAGGACATTGTCTAGGAAGGGCTGGGGCAAGAGCGGTGAGACATACAAGGGGTGAGAGGAGAAAGGGGAGGTGAGGGGAGATTGATAGATAAGACAGGAGGGAACTTTGACAGAGAAGGGGGGAGAGGTAAGCAAAGGTGGGGGAAATGCCCCTTCTCTGCAAGTTTCTTGCGGTCTCCCCCTGCGCTTATCTAATTCCCTCTTGAAGCGGTCCATGCTTGTAGCTGCCAACACCTCCTGTGGCAGTGAATTCCATGTGTTAATCACTCTTTGGGTGAAGAAGGATTTCCTTCTATCTGTTCTAACCCGACTGGTCAGCAGTTTCATTGAGTGCCCACAGTTCTTGTATTGTGAGAAAGGGAGAAGAGTACTTCTTTCACAGCCTGCTCTATCCCATGCATAATCTTATAAACCTCGATCATGTCACCCCTCAGCCGCCGTTTCTCCAAGCTAAAGAGCCTTAAGCGTTTTAACCTTTCTTCATAGGGAAAGTATTCAGAAGCGATGGTGTTGTTTCGGTACACAGTGGGAGAGGCAGTCTCACAAATATGATGGGCCTTGAGGGCTTTGCATATAATAGCCGATACCTTATATTGAGTCTGGTAACTGATAGGCAGCCAGAGGAGTGACTGTGGAGGGCGGTAATATGCACGCTCCCATCTTTTTGTTGTTGTTATTGTCAGAGGTGGTTTGCCGTTGTCGGCCTTCAAGTCACAACCCTGGTATTCCTTGGAGGTCTCCCATCCAAATACTAACCAGAGCCAACCCTGCTTTGCGTGAAAGATCTGACGACATCAGGCCAGCCTGAGCTATTGATCTAGATCCCAATAACGGCTGAGCTGCAGCATTCCACGCCAACTGGAGTTTCAGAATTGATTCTGGGGGAAGTCTAATGGACAGTTTGAAACGGAGATGAGCACTGCAGCCCTAGATTCGGATTCGACTGGCTTTCGAGCAAGGGAGCCTTTATGTTTACCTTTACCTTTACCTGATGGGCAGCCAGAGGAGTGACTGTTGAGGGGGGTAATATGCATGCTCCCATCTTTTTGTTGTTGTTATTGTCAGAGGTGGTTTTCCGTTGCCTTTATGTCAGCAAGGGTCAGCTGAACTACATCAAAAGTGGGGAACATATCATCTAAAATCTCCACCTTCCCAACCAACATTACCTCTGTCATTTCAGGGTTTTAGTTAGTTCCCTCTTAGCCAATCTTCCACAGACTAGCCATTGTTTTCGTATTTTCCTGAAGGAGATTGGATTTATACCCCCCCTTCACTACCTGAAGAAGTCTCAGAGCATTTTACAATCTCCTTTCCCTTCCCCTCCCCACAACAAACACCCTGTGAGGTAGGTGGGGCTGAGAGAGCGAGAACTGCCCTTGAGAGAGCAGCTTCAAGAGAACTTGTGACTGACCCAAGGTCACACCAGCTGCACATGGAGGAGTGGGGAATCAAACTCGGCTCTCCTAGATTAGAGTCCTCACTCTTAACCACTACACCAGGCTGGCTCTGGAGTTTCCTGGGGTACCTATTTCTGCCTGACATGAGGCATGGATTTTTGTTACTGTCCATTGTGCCACCTAATGTTTTATGGTTTTATTGTTTATGGGTTTTCTGTTGTAAGCCGCCCTGAGCCCACTTGTGGTATAGGGCAGGGTATAAATAAAATAAATAAATAATAATTTATAATGCCACAGAATAAGAACATAAGGAGAAGCCATGCTGGATCAGGCCAGTGGCCCGTCCAGTCCAACCCTCTGTGTCACACAGTGGCCAAAACCCAGGTGGCATCAGGAGGCCTTCCCTGTTGGTCTTTAAAGGGCTTCTTCGGGGGGAAGGGGGAATAATTTTCCCTTTTAATCGAGGCTCAAAACGCCCGCTCGTTCCCTTCCCTCAAGCTTTTCCCTTCGTCCCTCCCCTGACCGAATGGAAGCAAGAGCGCATGCTCACAAACCGATCTCGGGCGATAACAGAAAATAGGCGGGTCTAACGGTCCTTGAAGAACGTCAGCTCGCTGTTTGCGTCACTTCGTCTGCGACCTAGCTTCCTCCTTCGTGTCGCTCTCTTGGCTTCGCCCTCCCCCCCGTCGCGGGCTTTGTCGTCGTCGCTCTCGAGTGACGTGTCTTTCCTTTCCGGCCTGAGCGCGCGGCGTGTGAGGAGGTGAGGCGAGGCCTGGTCCGGCTTGAAGGGCTGTTTTGTCCTCGTTACCAGGGTGGCGGAATAGATTTCAAGGGGGAAGGGAGTTGGCGATGAAGGCCTCGCATCTGTATCGCTCTCTGTGGTTCTATTTATTCGAGGTCATCTAGAGGGTCTCTCTTGGCTGTTTCGGGGAACAGTTCTTTGTACAACGCGCTCCCGTGCGCATGCGTACTGCCTACCTTGGGCCTTTCTTAGGTTCTAGTTATTCTTAAAGAAGCTCAGGAATTGTAACCCCCCTCCCCATTTCGTCCTTGCAACAACCAGTTTTTTTTAAAAAAAACCTTTCTGCAAAAATTAATTTTTAAAAGTTTGACCACAGAGGCTTCCTTGAGTTCGTTTTAAGCAGAATTTTTTTTGTCCCGTTGGGAATGCTTCAGGCGACACAAAAGTGGATGCATTCCCTAGGGTTGCCAACTCCTGGTTGGGAAATACATGGAGATTTGGGGAGGGTTGGGGTGGAGGGACCTCAGCAGGATATAACGCCATAGAGGCCACTCTTCAAAGTTGTAGTGTTCTCCAGGTGAGCAAATCTCCATCATCTGGAGATGAGTTGTAATTCTGGGAGATCTCCAGCCCCCACCTGGATATTGAGAACCCTAATTCCTACCACAGCTTGTGGAGTATATATGTATCACTTAGAGTGCCATTCTAACCCCATTTACTTCAGTGGACTTGAGAGGGTAAGCCTTTGTTTAGGACTGCACTGTCAGCCTACTTTGTATGTTTCTGTCTTTTTCATGGAGGAGGAAAAAAGCTGCTTTTTTGACATTTGGTTGCCTGAGGTATTCTAGTCCTCCTCCCTTGGTGGAGGAGGGGGGGTTGTACCTACTGAGAACCAGTTTGGTGTAGTGGTTAAGTGCGTGGACTCTAATCTGGGAGAACCGGGTTTGATTCGCCACTCCTCCACTTGCACCTGCTGGATGACCTTGGGCAAGCCATAGTTCTGGCACAGCTGTTCTTGACAAAGCTGTTTCTGTCAGAGCTCTCTCAGCCCCACCTACCTCACAGGGTATCTGTTGTGGGGAGGTAAAGGGAAAGGAGATTGTAAGCTGCTCTGAGACTCCTCTGGGTAGTGAAGGGCGGGGAATAAATCCAATCTCCTCCTCCTCCTCCTCCTTGTGGAAGAGAAGCACTAAGCCAATTATTTACAGGTTATAAGCTTTTGAGACTCAAAAGTTATCACGAGGGGAAATTTGACTCTCAAAGTTTATACCCTGAAAATGTTATTGTTCTGTATAGTGCTACTGGACTTGAATCTAGCAACTGCAGTCTGGACTTATTGGGTGGTGGTGGCTTTAGGTTAGGCTTTCCTCTCATATAAGATTAGTACTGTGGCGTGTATTTGGTGTTAGCTTCAGGGCAGCCTCGGTTATGACAAATTCCATGACAAATACCAAGATTCTAATCAGAGCTCTTATTTTAAAGCTTTTTTTAACCTGGTAAACATGCCTAAGAATTGATTTTATTAGTCTTTAATCTACCACCAGATCACTGGTTTATTGTAGTATATAGAATAGATTAAGATGAATGAGTGACTTTTCCATTGAGATTTCTGTCACTGTAGCTGATCCTAATAAAAAGGTATTACGTGGATTGTGGTTTGATTTGGCCAAAACCTTCCAGTGAGATTTTTGCCTTGGTAGCACTCCGTGCTGGTGGGAGAACATAGCTAAACCAAATGCTCAAAAAGTTCAAATGAGAGTAGCTACACGTGAATAGGAAGTTAAGATCCATACTCAGTCTGAGCTTGTGTTAGTACTTCAGCCTCTCTCTCATACTGTTGTTCATGGTCTTCATATCTTGGTATAGGGCTGCCTGTTCCTTGTTACTTGAAACTAGGAGTGCATGGTTGTCCTAGTTTCAAGACATCATGTTCCTCTTTCAGGGAATTATTCATTATTTCCTGAACTCTATTCTGGCATTGAAACAAATTGCTGAGAAGACAGTGGGGCATCCCTGTTTGGTAATTTTAATTTCAGGATTGCCGAACAAGTGAGAATTGTGTATAGTTTTATTATAACTTAATGTCATTTGTAGACTGTTGTCCTTCTATAGCTGAGAGTTGAAACAAAGATAAAATATCCCTGCTTGCTTAAATTAATGCACAGTGTGTCTTTTTAAGTATGCATATGGTAATGAGGAGAATCTGCTGAAATATTTCCGTAGGGTGGGTAGTGTTCAGAGGCTGGTAGGGATCTTCTCTAGTTTCACGTCACTCGAGCATCCGAGAGGCACTGATCCGTTGTCTTTTCTACTCAGGAATTTCTTGTTGCACCTCACTAGTAGCAGGATCTAAAAACTTACCATGCAGAACGACGCTGGGGAATTTGTGGATCTGTACGTGCCTCGTAAATGGTGAGTAAAAAGATACAAATAGAAAAAACAGCAGGGCTGTCCTTACCAATCACAAAGAAAAATTAGACAAAAGAGCAGATGGTGCAAATGAAGAAGGATATTTTATTATTCAGGTAAACAATTCCCCACGAAACACATAGGGGATTTTTTTTCCTTCTTCATTTGTATCGTAGGCTCTTTTGCGTGCTTTTGTCTCATAGTATTTCTATGCTCCGTGGGAATTGGTCAACTCTGTTTCAATGAGCAAGAGAAGTTTATTTGTATTTATTTTAAAAGTTTACATCCTGTGCCATCCTGTGTGTTCAGGGCAGCTTACAAAAATGGTTTAAAACATGCAGTCAAAAACAAAGCCAGCAGCATACCAGTCAGGTTAAAGCTGAGCTCAGCAGACTAAACCAAATCACACTGAAAAACACACATCTGAAACAGAAATGCTCAGTGTGCCTTCCAAAAGAAGGAGAGAGAAGCTCTCTACAGGTCCCAGATCATAAAAGAGCCTTTAAGAAGCGGCATGTTGAATTGAAACCAGAAGCAAACGGGCAGCCTGGGAGCCGTTATATCTGTACAATACCCCACAGTTAAATGGGAGGCCACTGCATTCTGGTCTAAATGGAGCTTCCCGACCTGTCTTCAGAAGCAGCCCTCTATAAAGCAAATGACTATAGTTTCAACTCAGAGTTATGGAAGCATGAATCCGTGAACTCAGAAAGGGAGGAGTTCTGATATAAAATGCATACAGATGACACAATTTTGAGCAGTAATAGCTGTTTTGTTATATTACTGTCTTTTTCTGGTCGAAGAGCCTATTGGCTTTAAGACTGGGATGGGATATAAGCTGCATACAGGGTGAAAAAAATAGTAGAGTTTAGAAAGTGTTTTTTTTTTCTATGTGATAGGTTCATATTTTAAATATAAAAGAAGAGGTTGGATTTATACCCCGCCCTTCACTCAGAGTGGCTTACAACCTCTTCCCACAACAGACACCCAGTGAGGTGGGTGGGGCTGAGAGAGCTCTCTGAGAACTGCTTATGAGAGGACAGCTTTCAGAGGACTTTTGACAGGCCCAAGGTCACCCAGCAGCTGCATGTGGAGCAGTGGGGAATCAAACCCGGTTCTTCCACATTAGTCTGCCACTCTTAATCACTACACCAAATTGGCTCTCCTTCTCTTAGTACTGATCTTGCACAATTTACAGTAACAACTTCGTATTCTTAAAATCCCTGAATTAAATGGCTGCGTAACTAATGGTTGTGTAAGCTCAAGCAAGTCTCTGGAGAGGTAGCATATAAATTAATTGGATTTCTGCCTGTGCTGGGCTTGTTTTGTAATCCCCGAAACATATGGGCTGCCTTATACTGAACCAGACCATTGGTCCATCAAAATTAGTATTGTCTACTCAGACCAGCGGTGGCTTTCCCACGGTCTCAAGTAGAGGTCTTTCACATAGCCTTCCACCTGATCCTTTTAGCTGGAGACCCTGGGGATTGAACCTGGGAGTAATGAGCTTGCTGTAATGTAGATTTCTTTCCTCCAGCTGTCTTTTAGAAGCAACCACTCAATGAATTGATCCATTTCTTTAAAGGCTAGTTAAAGACAGTTATGGGACCATTGAGACTCGCACTTTACAGTAGGGCTAAGGCTTCTATCTTAATCACTGTCTTGTTTTTTATTTGTATTTTTAAAAACACTTGGAAGAAATTCCAGCATAGTAGATAAGTGTATCAAACACGGTCAACTTAAAATACACAGAGAGTACTCCATCTTTCCACGTTATACCTCTGAGGATGCCCGTCACAGCTGCTGGTGAAACGTCAGGTCCTACAATGCTAAGACCACGGCCACACAACCCGGAAAATCTACAACAGCTAATTAAAATACACTCGTTCAGTGATAGAAAAGGCATGATAATTTTGAGTAGGATGTTGAATACAGTGAACTTATGTTACGTAATCCGAGAACACCCAAGTCAGTGCTATGAGGAGTGTAACTGCACCTCCATGTTTTTCCCTTTTTCCGTGTGATGAAACAGTGGATGCAACACTGGTTATAACAATTACATTAGTTAAAGTCCACCAGAGGGCACGAATCAACAGAATAAGCAGCATTGTTCAATGGAGTTATGCATAATAATGTCACGTGGGTGGAGTTTCTGCCGAGGGTATGTGGCAGGGTATATGTAGGTCAGCCATGCAGTGTTGGCCGTACAGACACGGCCGCTAAGTGCATGGCCTTGATAGGATTTGCCTGGACCACTTTGTTTGGAGGGTGGTGTATTGTTTTTCTAGACCTGGCTGATTTATAATCTTTTTGTGTTTCTTTTTCCTCAGCTCTGCTAGCAACCGGATAATTGCTGCTAAGGACCATGCTTCCATCCAAATAAATGTTTCAGAGGTAGGCAAACTATCATAATTCGTCATAATCAGTGTTCCCTCTAAGCTGAGTTAGTGTGAGCTAGCTCACTGTTTTTTAGCCTATAGCTCTGGCAGATTACACTGTGCTGTGGCTGAGCATATGCAGATCACTCTCTTTCAGCAGTTCTGTATAGCGACTGTAAGGAAAAGCCAAATTATATACAGTTGCAGCCTTCTTAAGCCACTGACCTTTATGGATTTAGAAGGGTATGACTGTGCTTAAGACTGCACTGATTAGTCAGCCGATTGCTGCCATTTTCAGTTTTGTCTTGCTCTGTCTCTGGTGTGGGCATTTGAAGGCAGATCTGAGCATTACTAGATGCTGCAGTGGCATGAGACGAATCGCTGCTGCTTTCTTTGGGCACAGAGGTGCCAGGATGGTGAACTGTTCCCTGGTTGAAGCTTTAGGATGCTGGGAATGTTGAGCACGGGCATCAGTTGTTTCTCGCACTGCATTTGGGTCAAGATCCTCCCAGATCCACAGGGAGAACCTAGAAGGAGAGGAGCAGATGGCTGAAACAAAGAACGGGCCACCAGCTCCTCAGTAATAAGAACAGGACTGTTTTTAGTTTCGTGCATACTTCCGAGGCGTGTTTGTGGCATACTTCCGTGGCGTGTTTGTGTGTGTCCCATTCTGTAAAGGTCGATGGGTCTGTCTTGTTGTTTTCCATCATCTCCTTTTGTTCATTAAACACAAGTTCTGTTAGTTGGGATGTGTTGCGGCTTAGTAAAATTTAGGGGAAAATGTTTCTCCATACATGGGACAGGACAGATTTTTGCCCCTGATTTTATGGCTCCATTGAATCTGGGCAAATGCATTTTTAATTAAGGCAGCTGAGCTCTATTAATTTACTTCACTGCGTATCTAGGCAGGGAGGTAGCAGAGAGGCCAAAATGTATTATCCTTTCTGCATTTGCTGAATTTGTAGATATAATTTCACTTTTCCCATGGGATCTTTGTTAACATCACGAGAAAATGAGCTCGTACAGTTACACATTCTGATGCTGTGAACTGCTTCAATTTCAGGTTGATAAGGTCACAGGCAGAGTCTGTGGCCAAGTCAAGACATATGCAATTTGTGGAGCGATCCGTAGGATGGTAAGTGTTTTCCTAACAATATATCTCTAAGATGAATAGAACTTTCAGTGCCTTTTCATCTCAAGGTGGCTTTCTTTTTTTTGCAGTTGCCCATTGAGGCCCCTCTACAGGGTGTTCTCATGCAAAGATGCCCTGAGTTCATGTGCCATCCTTTTAGCCATTTCACAATGGGTGCCAAGACTGTGGTACAAGAGGAAGGTGGAGGGGCGTTGTTTAAACAGTCTTCCTTCAAGAGTCAGTTAGGTTTAGTGGTTAAGAGTGGCAGACTCTAATCTGGAGAACCGTGCTTGTTTTCCCACTCCTCCACATAAGTCAGCTGGGTGACCTTGGTTCAGTCACCGTTCTTTGAGAGCTGTTCTTTCAAGAGCAGTTCTCTCACTCAGTCTCACTTACCTCACAGGGTGTCTGTTGCGGGGAGAGGAAGGAAAGGCGATTGTAAGCCACTCTGAGACTCCGAGTGAACGGTGGGGTATAAATCCAACTCTCCTCCTCCAAGATGTTTCTATTACTGGGATCGTGCACCCACTTTCTTGGGAGGAACTCCTCTTGAAATCAGTAGATATGCTTCCAATTGGCATTTTAGTCTTCTTGGCCTGGGTAGCAGCAGAGGTCTGTTGCAGAGTTAAATTAAGCCACTCATGCCACTGATCATGAAGGGTGTGGACCTGCCACTGCTTTAGGGGAATCATAATGTGGCTTTTGCACTCTTAAAACTAGCCTGATATGGACATATGCAACTTTTAAATCCAAGATGCATTTTTGTATCTAGAAGGATACCTAACCTTCATTTGGGGAGCATGCAGGCTTTCTGTGGTCATTTTCACCTAACCCTGAACCTTTTCACTTCCTCCAACCATTGTGCCACATATTCCCACAGACTGGGTAACAAATAGCTTACCTGTCCTAAGGTACCATAGGGTGCATCAGCTTCTTTCAAGTATTGGTTAAATTTGCAATTCTTGTCAAAAATGAAGACATATAGTTTTGTATGCTAAGTAAGATAAATGTTGCACTTTATGTTAAAACAGCAAAGTTGTTTTACATTTGATAGGACAGTAGTGATTTGCCTATATTTCCCAAAATTAAGTTTTTTCGTGGCTTCAAAATTTCTGGAAATCTTACATCTCTAGGAAAGGATGCTAGGCTACTGGCTGTCCTCTCGAGCTCTGTAATTACAGCTCGGGCAGAAGCAATGGCTTCTCTTTCCTGACAAGTGACACCTTTCAAAGTTAACCCAAGCTCTTGTTTTTGTGTGTGTGTCGTCGTCCCCCCCCCCCCCCCCCACCCCCCTCTTTATGGGTATAAAAGGGGAAGCTGTAGCCGAGCCAACTTCCTGCTCATATTAGAACTTTAATCTCTTTATTTCTGGGCTGTGATGCAGCTCTGGGTCTAGCAGTCCATTTTAATTCTTCCCCTTCCTCCAGGGAGCTGAGAGAGCTGTTCTGTGACTCTGTTCTCCCTTCCCCATTTTATCCTGACAATTTCCCACTATAGTAAATTAGACTGAATGAGTGGTAGAAAAGGGCAAGAGTCCAGTAGCCCCTTAAAGACTAACAAAATTTGCGGAAGGGTATGAGCTTTCG